CGCTTTTCTGTTTGGATGGGGGCGGGGGGGGCGAGAGAGCGAGGATCGCTGAGACCTTGTTTCGCTTGCTGAGGTTAGCGATACACTCGCTCAGACAAGCGATTCACTCGCTCAGACTAGCGATACACTCGCTCAGACAAGCGATTCACTCGCTCAGACAAGCGATTCACTCGCTCAGACGCGCTCCCGAGCTCACGACCCCACTGCGCCTTGCTGCAGCCACTCTGGGCTCAAAGCAGCGCTTCCTGCTCTCGGGTCGCTCGGGAGCGCTCGCGCAACCGAGGTATGGACGAGCCTGCGGCGTGCCTGCTGCAGCAGATGTCGGCTGCCGCCCCGCCGCGCGTCTCCGCCCCGCCCAAGCGCGTGGAGGTCAAGAAGCAGCGCTCGCTGTTCGAGTTCTCCGTCGTGGCTTCGGCGGCCCGCGCGGGGCAGCTAGACGACGTCAAACAGGAACCCCCCGAGGAGCCAGAGGAAACCCCCGAGGGAGAGCCAGTGACACTTGCCGAAGAGCTAGGGATGGCCCCAGAGGATGCCGCCGAAGTGGCCGCTCACGGCGCAAGCCGCGCAGGCAAGGCCAAGCGCCCTCCCAAGAAGGCCAGGGTCAGGGCAGCCAAGGCAGTGGCAGGCCTTGCGCCCGAGGAGGACGACTGGTCCTGGGAGTGGGGGCCCGAACCCGAACACCTTGACGAAGGAGGCGACCGCGGCGGCGCGGCTGCGCCCGCAGTTGAGGAGAAGAAGGGGGGCAAGAAGAGGAGGGCCTCCGAAGGCGCCGAAGGCTGGCCAGCCGACGCCGACGGCGACGGCGCCGACGCAGACGAGGCCGGGACTGGCGGAGACGACGGCGCCGAGGGCGCCGACTACGGCGTCAGCGGCGAGGACGGCGAGAAGGCCAAGAAAAAGAAGAAGGGGAAGAACAAGGGGAAGCGCTCCAAGACCGCCAAAAAGAAACGCAAGAAACCGGCCGCGCCGAGGAGCTCGGAGGTCCCGACAGAACCCGCCGAGGTCCAGCCACCGTGCGCCGCTGCCCCTGATCAGACGGCTATCGACGCGGTGCCGCGCTTCGATCGCAACCCCGTTTGCACCAAGTGCAAGAAGCCCGTGGAGCCGCTCGCAGCAAGGATTGTAGGCAAGAAAAGGAATGTTTGGCAGTGCTCAACGTGCAGTTCGCGGTACACTCAGCTCCACAGGATTTTCGGAGGATGGCCGCCACAATCCTTCAAGTCGCTTTCACAGGAAGAGAAAGATACTTTTTGGAACGACGTCAAGGAGGCGAACGGGAGGCAGAGGTCGAGAAGATTGCGGTGGAAACGTTCACGAGGGTATACCGCGAGAGCCGCGCCTCAGGCAGGCAGGGGAAATACCTCCCACTCAGCGTCTACAAGAAGAAGGGCTACTCCGCAAAGAGGATTAAGAGGCTGTGCAAAGACAAGAAACAAGATGATGTCCTCGGCACGCTCTACTGCGTGAACATTGATTACAAGGACGACAAAAGCGTCGAGGAAGAGGTCCGCCAGTCCCTGACCGCCGCAAAGGAGCGCACCGCCAGCCCGCAGCAGCACCAAGGCAAGAACAAAGGCAAAGGCAAGGGAAAGGAGCAACTCGCGCCAACCTCAGCCACCAAGAAGATGATGAGCGACGCCGTCAAGATCCTGGCCAAGGTGAGCCCGCTCGCTTTCAAGGCAAAAGGGTTGTTGAACAACCCCAAGGCAAGCAAGCTGCACAAGGGCCACAGCAAGGCCATGGCGTGGCACATCAAGGACCTCGACGCTCTCGCGGCCGCGGCCCAGGATACCCTGTCCAAGAACGCCGTGCTGTCCATTCAGCTTGCGACGGTGAAGGAGAAGGCAGACGCGGCTGAGAAGAAGTGCGCGCAGGCGGAGACAGCGCTCAGCACTTTCGACGACTGAGGCTCCCCTGCGGGAGGAGAGGGGAAGTGCAGCAACGAGCATGCTGCGCGAGTGACCGCCTCTTGACATCTCTCGGGCTGAGATGCGGCGTCGGAGAAAAAAATCATTCATTCCGTTAGCGATTCACTCGCTCATTTCGTTAGCGATTCAATCGCTCATTTCGTTAGCGATTCACTCGCTGATTTCGTTAGCGATTCAATCGCTCATTTCGTTAGCGATTCAATCGCTCATTTCGTTAGCGATTCACTCGCTGATTTCGTTAGCGATTCAATCGCTCATTTCGTTAGCGATTCACTCGCTATGAAGCGGCGCCCTCTCTCGGAAGCGATTGAATCGCTCGGCGCGACGGCTTGCACCCTTCACCTGCTTTACATTCAGCGCTTGGGCTCAGGAGTGCCCGAGCCCCGCGCCCCAGCGCCCGCGTGGCCATCATGGGTAAGCAAGTTCTCGAGAAGCGCCGCCGCCTTGGGAGGCTGGTGACCATTCCAGGCGTGACGTGCGCTGGTTTGTGCGAGGTCCTCCGCCGACTGAGGCAAGCGCCCATCGAAGAGGAGGTCTCTGCGCATGAGGCCAAGGCCGCCGCGAAGATGGAGTACGATAGAGAGATGTCGTGTTCTCTGGAATTGCCGCTGTGCGACGGCGGGTCCTTTGAGTGGCGCATTGCAAGGACGTCGCGGGGCGCACCAAGCAGCGCGTCTTTCTTGGGCCGCAAAAAATCAACAACGGCATCTGGATTTTTTTCTGGTGCCAGTTTTCTCCTCTCCCCCTGCCCCTTCCCCCCCTCCACCCATTCCCCCCTTCCCCCTTCCCCCCCCCCCAGGGCGGGAGGGGGTGGTGCAGGGGGTTCGCGGCGCGCCTGCTTGGCGCATCCCGCTGAGGCCTGCCCGCTTGGTTCAACGGTTAGTCGAGGTGTCCCCAGCGCTGAAGCGCATGTTCGCGGCCGCGCCTATCACCCCAGCAAGGCCGTGGAACGTGATCCTTGCGCACGACGAGGTCACGCCTGGAGCTGTGCTGCGACCGCATAACCGCAGGAAGTTCGTTGCATTTTACATTTCGTTTCTAGAATTCAAGCATGCCCTTCGGCACGATTGCTGTTGGTTCCCCCTGGGCGTGATCAGGTCGGCACAAGTGGAGAAAATTCGCGGTGGCCTCTCGGGCACGATCAAGTCGTTGCTGCGTCGCTTGCTTCTTGAGGACGGCAATCTCGTGGATGGCGTGGCCTTGCCGCTACAGGGCGGGCCGACAATGTTCTTCGCGAAATTTGCCGTGCACTTGGGAGACGAGGTCGCTTTGTCCAGGGGCCTCGGCGTGAAAGGATCTGCAGGGATCCGACCGTGTCTGAAGTGCGCCAACGTGCTCAAGAAAGGCTCAGGCATTGCTGGCGCTGGCGCCGCGCCCAATCGGTTGGTGGAAATCACATGCAGGGACCGCAGCGCATTCATTTGTAATTCTGACGAGGCCGTATGGGGAGCCCACGACGAGTTGACGCACTTACAAGGGACAATATCGAAAGCCGCATTTGTGCGCCACGAGAAAGCACACGGCATCAATTTTAATCCTGATGGGTTGTTGGCGGACGCAGACCTCCGAGGGCAGGTCGGCCCTGTTTCGTCGCTCCATTTTGATTGGATGCATGTATATTTGTGCAATGGTGTTGCGTCCCAGGAAATGTTTTGCTTCATGTCGGCATGCCAAGCCATTCCTGCTCTGAGGGACATCTATCCGAAGTTGGAACGGCACTGCCAGGCAGACTGGTCTTTCCCCCAGCAACACCGACGCAAGTGTCGGGAGGCCCACGTTGTTTTCTGCAAGGCCAGGGAGAACGCATCCAAGGAGCATTGGCGAAGCAGCGCCTCAGAGTTGTTGTGCATTTACCCGCTGGTGCGGCATTTTGCTTGCATTGTTATCTTGCCGAATTTCGATGAGCTGCGCGACGAAGTTGCCTCCCTCTGCCATTGTTTCGCTGTAATTGACAAAATTCAACGGGCGAAGGCGGGCGACATCGATGCCTCGGCCCTCGGAGCTGCAGTTGATCGCCACGCGGACGCACATGAAAAAGCATACGGGGCCGACAATTGGAAACCAAAGTTTCATTTGGCGACGCACATTCCCGAGCAAGTGGAGAAATTCGACGTTGTGTTGGATTGCTTCGTTGTTGAGAGGTCGCACCTTCTGCCGAAAATGATTCTGGACAACCAAGATATACTGAAAGGCTTCGAGAAAGCTGCAATTTCTCGCGTGCTGTTGGCGCGCCTGCAGGAGCTCGAAAGTTTCGACGAGCGCCCAGGGCTCAGGGGGGGCGATGCGGAGTTGTCGCCCCTGCTGGCTGAAGCAGTCGGCGGCGACGTCGTCCTTTCATCCAGCGCTGCTTTCAAAGGCTTGCTTGTTTGGGCAGGCGACGTGGTGCGCATGCAGAACAATTTTCTATGCGTCGCAGCTCTGGGCCAACGGGGGGACGATCTATTCATTCTTGGGCACGAGTGCGTCGTGATCGAGAAGCGGACGCCGAACGCGTCAGTCCTGCGGAAGGACGGCGAATTGCTTCTTGCGTGGTGGAGCGGCGAATCGGTTGAGATGTGCCACGCTTGGTCGGAGCTCGCCTCTGGCGACATTCTTGCTTTGCACTGAGCGGAAAACAACATCTGCCAGGACAGCGATTGAATCGCTCATCAAAAAAACATTAGCGATTGAATCGCTCATCCTCCTCCACTCCGCATCTTTCTTCGGTCTGCGATCCTGCAGCGATTGAATCGCTCATCCTCCTCGCAATCCGCCTCTTTCTTCGGTCTGCGATCCGAAGCCTCAGCAGCCACGCGGCGTCGGGGGGATGGGGGTACGCGGGGGAGGAGGGGGGAGAGGGGAATGATAATGTGCGATATGTACAATTCGAGGGTTGCAAAGGAGCCCAAATTTAACTTATTTCAGACAGTTGCAAGTAGTTTACAAGTTATTTGTAACTTTGATAAGTTCTTTGGCCTGCAACTTACAACTCGCAGTTACGATAGTCACATCCCTGGGTAACTTGGGCAGCTGCAATTACAAGTGGTAAACAATGCAACCATCTATGCTAACATCAAGTTGGGTAGTTGCATGTTAGTTCTTCAGATGACCTTAGCTATGTATCAACTTACACCATGCTGTAACCAAAGCTGGCCAGCTTCAAGTTTTCTAACCCAAAGTCGCTACGCCAGAGGGGGCCGCAGGCGACCCTACCCTACCCCCACGATTTCTGGGGGGAGGGGTGGGGTTCACTTCGCTCGGGAGCTCCCGGTCGAAGTGAACCCCACCCTCCCCCTCAGAAATCGTGGGGGGTAGGGGTAGGGTTCGCCTGTGGCCCCCTTTCCCAGACCGCGGCGCGCCATGAGCGCGTTTCTCTACCTTCGGCGGTAGTGGGCATTAAATGGGGGGGGGGCGAGGGGCCAGGGGGGGGGTATCAAAGTAACGCCTCCCCCCCGCCGTGCGCACGGCGGCAGTGCCCGGAGCGCACTGGGGGGGGAGGGGCGTTACGTTCTAGGAGGGGGGGCGGCCGCGGGCTATGATGCCCATCATACCCCAAGCAATAAAGAAACGAGCTCCATGGGGGGGGCAGGCTCGCAGAGCGACGGTACCGCAATACCTTGCGCACAGAGCGCTGCTGGGAGCGAGAAGTGATGGGAAATGCGCGCCCGTTCCTCTTGTGAGCCCCAAGCAACCAGCAAGCCCATGAAAACTCTCCATCCAGAATCCCACCAGCCTTCACCAGAGATCGGATGCCTTACTCTGTTCAATGCGGGGTCCCCGAAAGCCTCGACCCACTCCTGGGCAGTCGTGCTTCATCCTGGATCGCTGTTGAACGGTCGTATGCCCTGGCGGAGGACCTCAAGAGGCCGACAATAAAAAACAACCTCCGCCTGGACGTTGTCAACACGTTGGACCTCTGGGTCTGGGCGTGAGCAACTAATTCAGGGCGTTGCATCTTCTACTTAGCATTGCTCGTCATAGCATCACTGTAGTATGCTTATCATGCTTCTGTTGATAGCCTTCTTAGTCTTATCCGTGTACTGATCATGACGTCTACCATCAATGATGACAATAAGATGAATACTGCGTCTTTTCATCATGCTCATCATCAGCATCATAATTGTTATGTTTGGTTGCTTCGTCCGAAATCCCTCGGGCGGGCCCGCGAGCACCACGCAGGGCGGCGGCGGCGGCCCTCCCTCCCCGGGGCTGCCGTGCGCAGGTCCACGCTCCGGCGCTGCCGCAGCCGGACGTGGCGCAGCCGCCGGGTCGGCGGCGGGAAGCGCTGCCAGGCCCCGCCTCGCGCCAGGCGCGGGGGAGTAGGCGCGCTCGCACGCCACGAGTGCATATAACATGTAGATATATACACACACGCAGACGCCCTCCGACGAAACTGCCCTCGTATGTCTACCACGTCGTCGCGGCGACCGCTCGGCCCTGGAAAGAGACGCGTCTTACATGCCCGTGAAGCACGCGGACCGCTGGAGGCATCGCCTTGATCTGGGCACGAACCGGTAAGTGACTAATCCCCTGGCGGCACCCCCTTGTGTTGCCCAATTGCTATCCCTGTCACATCGCGATTGTTCTGATCGTGAGATGGAGAATGAAGGAGGAGGAGGAGTGAGTGAGTAGACGGAGGCACGACACGGACAACCATAATTCACGACGTAGAAGATGCGAATAAACTCCGTAATATCCTTCACAAGACGCGCAACTGCCTGCACAAGGATCCATTATCCATTATGACCGTCGATTGCTCCGCACGCGTTCGACGGAAACTGGCGGCAATCAAACTGGCCCCATCAGCTGGGACATCGCTGCTTACTTGACTTGTGTCAAACGTGCGTTTGATTCGCCCATGTCGCCAAGCCCCCCCATCTGAACCAGAAAAGCCGGTTTCTAATGAGACGTCCTCACGATCCGCTCTTAAAGTGGCCCAAAGGCGTGCAGGTGACGCTGGCGGCGTACTGCCCGCGCGGAGGCGAGAGCGCCGCCTGGACGGACCTCCGGCCACTCTGCGGAAGTTCTTACCGCACAGTAAGAAGCGGGGGTGCTTCTCAGCAGGCTTCCCCCCTCCTGCGCGCGGCTGAGATCCAGAAGCCCACCAGGCTGCACGGCCACAGACTCTCGGGGCGCGACCGGCGCCCGTCGTGGCCGCACGAAGGCCCCCCCAGAGAGAGAGGGCGGCGCCCCCGCGCTGCCTGGTCGCCGGCCACGGGCCCGTGGCGGACCCCCTCCTCCCTCCTCCCTCCTCCTCCCTCCTCCTCCCTCCTCCTCCCTCCTCCCTCCTCCTCCTGTTCCTCCTCCTTCCTTCTCCCTCCTCCTCCCTCCTCCCTCATCCTCCTTTTCTCCTCCTTTTCCTCTCTCCTCCTCCATCCTCCTTCCTCCTCCGCCTCCTCTCCTCCTCCTCCTCTTCCTCCTCCTCTCCTCCCTCCTCCCCTCACTCCTTCTCCCCCTCCTCCTCCTCACTCCCTGGCCGTGACGTGAGAAGCCCCCCCCCCCCCACTGCGGCCCCCCTCGAAGGTCACCGACAGCGACGGAGCAGCCAGCAGATCCGCCTCTCCTGCCCCGACAGCCTCGTTGGATAAATGACAAGTAGGGGCTCCTCCAAGAGAAACCTTCCGCAAGTAACCCAAGCCTGAGGCCCCAGGACGTCCATGGACTGTTGGAGTGGGAGCGCCAAGCTTTCCATTGCAAATTCATCGAAACCCAAGAAACCCAGGGCAACCTGGAGGCAAGCAGGGTGTTCCTTAGCATGGGTTTCCACTGCAAACGCGAAAGGTACTTAGCACCCCCCCACACACCACATTAATAGGCCCCCAATAATTTGCAGACATATGTTTGCGGGTGCCTACTTGAGGGATGCCAACACCCGGCAGTACTCGACAAATGGTCATGCCGCCGTCGCCGCCGTCGCGGAGGAAGACGAGAAGGGAATGAGGAGGAGGAGGAGATGAGGAGGAGGAGGAGGAGGAGGAGGAGGAGGAGCAGAAGGAGGAGGAGGAGAGGGAGGAGGAGGAGGAGGAGGAGGAGGAGGAGGAGGAGGAGGAAGAGGAGGAGGAGGAGGAGGAGGAGGAGGAGGAGGGAGGAGGAGGGGGAGGAGGAGGAGAAGGGAGGAGGAGGAGGAGGAGGCGGAGGAGGACAGGGCGAACCGGGGAGGCGCGCAGAGCCGACTGCCAGCCACGAGCTTTGGGGGAGGGGGCCCGGCGGGACGGAAGACCTCCTGAGGATCCCGCTCTACCAAATCTCGGAGCGCGAACGGCACCCTCCGTGCTTGCTCCCGCAAAGACTAGACAAGCGCGCCCCACGACCCGCAGAACGGCCACTCGCGCATGGCCTGGATCCTCTGCGTCGAGGGAAAGCAAGCTCCACTGCATCGCGGCGAGCATCATATATTCTCTTTGTTGGACGTTCGCGAGCAGGCACTTCCCAGAGATCTGATGACGTGATGTTTTCGATACGCAATGCCCCGAAGACTCGACCCATTCTACAGGACACGTGTTTCATCCTGAATCGTTTCTGTTGACGGTCCCGGGGCCTGGCGAGGGCCCCTAGAGCAAAAAATTGAGAAAGACCTTCGTCTTGATTTGTCCAATTGCGAGGAGGAGGGGGAGGAGGAGGAGGAGGAAGAGGAGGAGGAGGAGGAGGAGGAGGAGGAGGAGGAGGAGGAGGATGAGGAGGAGGAGGGGGAAACGTTGGATCTCTGGGCTTGCGAGGGGAGGAGGGGAGAAGGAGGAGGATGAGCGGAGGAGGAGAGGAGGAGGAGAGGAGGAGGCGGAGGAGGAGGAGGAGGAGGAGGAGGAGGAGGAGGAGAAGGAGGAGGAGGAGCCCCCTCCGTCGCCGGAGCCTCTGAGCAGGAGGGGCTTCCACTCGTCCGGGAAGGAGTCATGCATCACGGGGCTGTTCCTGTAGCGCTCCACCTATAGGCACGCTTGTGGCGGAAAGCAGTACGAAGACGCGGAGAAGGACGGAGGAGAGAGGGAGGAGGAGAGCCTGCAGGGAGAAGAGTTTGCGGGCGGGGAAGAAGACGAAGACACGAAAGGAGGAGGAGGAGGAGGAGGAGGAGGAGGAGGGGGAGGCGGAGGGAAGAGGGAGAGGACGGATTGCCTGGCAGCCACAACACAGGTGGGTGCCCACCTGCGACAAGACCGTGGGCCGCAGCACACCCTGAGTTCGGCGGAGGGTCTCCTCACGCCGCACCCTGCCCAGGTCGCAGTCAGCAGCAGCAGAAGGAGCAGCAGCAGCAGCAGCAGTGACGCGCCGGCCTGGGTGTGAACCCAGTTGGATCCGCGCCAACTTCTCGCGCCACTCGCGGCGGGGCTCGACACTCTCCTCGAGCCAAAAATCGGGGTCGGTGGTGGCAGCGAGGTCGGAGGCGAGGCCGATGGGGCCTTCACCGCGTCGAGCTTTGTGACCAGCGTGGTAGAAGAAGCGGACGCCTGCAGTGGAGCTCGCCGAGAAAGCCGAGCTTGCAGTAGTACTGACCTGGCCCTCCACGTTGCTAAGACGAGCAGCTTGGGCCTGGACCTCATTGCGCAGGGCGGCGAGCTCGGCGCCCTGAGCAGTCATTTCACAATGCAGCCCTGCTACGGCTGCTTGGACCTACTGCGGAGACCGGCGGCGACATCCGCGGACTACTTTCCCAGAAGGGCCGCCATCATGGTGCGGATCTCGAGCCCGCCTCAGAAGAGACCAAGTTCAGAGCGCCGGGGTCGCACCCTTTGAACTCAAGCCGAACTGACTACGGAGGAAGGAGAGGAGGGAGAGGAGGAGGAGGAGGAGGAGGAGGAGGAGGAGGAGGAGGAGGAGGAGGAGGAGGAGGCTCGAGGATCGAGGCTCGAGGATGGAGGCTCGAGGCTCGAGGCTCGAGGCCCAGAGATCGGTGCCGGCTGGCGCGAAGCTTCGGCGGCGGGCGCGCGCGGCGCCTGCTGCTCCAGGCCCTGCAGCGAGCTCCAGGCGACCTCGGCCTCCCTGTCCCAGGGCACCTGGCCGCCGGGGGGGCAGCGGGAGCGGCCAAGAGGGGGGTGTCCAAGAGGGGGGGGTGCAAATCATGACCGGCGGCATGTGCGCGGCCCAGCGGGGGGGCCAGGGACGGAATGAAATAAGAAGAGGCGCCATGAAATCTGGGGAAATATCATGGCCCACGCCATGATGTCCACCCCCCCTAGCCATCACCCCCCTCTTTTCCGCCCCCGAGGGCAGGATCGGCCGGCCTCGACGCGGGAAATATCGGACTCGCGGGGGATAGGTCGGCCCCCATCCCAGGCGTTTTGGGGGGTCTTCGAATGGACACGAAATCCTGGGCCCCACCCTGACTGGGGCAGGGGGCTAGTGGGTCTGCGATGCCATCGCCTGGCGGGGTTGCAGTACCCAGACTGAGCCTGCATGGGAGCCTCTGTGAACCTCCGCGGCCCTGCCATAAACCTGATTTCGACCGGATTTCGTCCAAATGCCAACCACCCCGCTTCACCCTTTCATCCAGACTTCGGCACAGATTTCGTCCTAGTGTAGCTCAAGTGTCGACCAGAGCCGGACGACATCCCGAAATAAAAACGAAAGGAATGTTGGCACCCTCTGAGGCTCCCATGAAGGACTGCACAAAAGAATACAGCCAGCCCGTATCAGAAGGATGCGCGGCAAGGACGCAAGGACCTTAGAGTCCCAAGTGAAGGTTCTTCTGGAGACGATCGGGAGTGGGGTAGACGAGGAGGAGGAGCAGGAGGAGGAGGAGGAGGAGGAGGAGGAGGAGGAGGACGAGGAGGAGCAGGATGAGGAGGAGGAGGAGGAGGAGCAGGAGGAGGAGGAGGAGGAGGAGGAGACCCCAACGAGGCCAGCCAGCCAAAGTCGCGAAGGATGGGCCGACGAGGCAAGGGTTGCAAAAAGGGCACCCCTGGGAAGGTCGCCCATCCCTTAACTTTGAGGCGTGCATCCATACACCGACCTGTTCGGGGCGCTTTCTGCTGCTTGCTGCGTGCGTGGGGCCAAAAACGGCGTTCGCGCAGTGGCCGACAGGGGGCGCGCATGCCATGCGCCCCGTCTGGGGCGCGTTTGGGCAGGCTTGGCTGCAGGTTCAGCTGAGGGGGCCCCAGGACACACAAATAAATACACACAAATAGAAAGATTCCCCATATTTTCCCATATCTTCCGGGTGTCTGTCTTCCCCCTTCTGCCCATCTGTTCCTATATTTTCTGGGGAGTCGACGACTAATTGTGTCTGTGTGCTTCTTCCCCTCCTGTAGAGGCCTCCTAGATGGGGTCGGAGTAGATGGGGTCGAAGGATCGCGCCGCATCGACGATACATCGGCGATGCATCGGCGATGCATCGGGGATGCATCGGGGATGCATCGGCGACATCGGCGATGCATAGGCGACGCCAGAGCAGGGAAAATCGGGCTCCACATGGAGTCGCATTGGCGATGCATCGGCGATGCAGCGTTTTCCTTCGACCCCATGTGCTCCGACCCCATCTGGGAGGCCTAGATCCTGATCAACGCGACCGAGGAGCACAGCGCCGGGCGGCTAGGCGTAACAGTGACCCTGGGTAAGAGTGACCTTCGGTGCGCAGCTTTTGAGGGCGCGAGGGAGCCAAACCCAAGGGCGCGGGCCGCTTATGTCGCATCGCGCTCGGCGATAGGGGGGAGCCCGATGAGCCCGCACCAAAGGTCACTCTGGCGAAAGGTCACTCTTACGTGCAGTCGAGATTAATTGTGTCTGTGTGCGTCTTCCCCTCCTGATCCACGCCACCGAGGAGCACAGCGCCGGGCGGCAGCCGCCCCCCCCAGGGGCGGCCTCCCACTCCGAGAAGCCCCGGAAGGCCGGGGCGAAGATTCCCCATACTTCCCCATATCTTCTGGGTGTCTGTCTTCCCCCCACTGCCCATCTTTTCCCATACTTTCGGGGGAATCGACGATTCATTGTGTCTGTGTGTCGCTTCCCCTCCTCATCCACGCCACCGAGGAGCACAGCGCCCGGCGGCAGCCGCCCCCCCATAGGGGCGCCTCCCACTCCGAAATGTTCTCAGAACCCAAGAATGTTCTAAGAACAAAAACAAGGTTCTGATAACATAAAACAGATGTGTTAAATCAAGACAGTCCCAGCCAGAAATGTTCCAAGAACATCTCGTGGGAACCACAAAAGGTTCTTAGAACATTGTTTGGTAGGGCTATAGGCGAGCCAGGACGCTTCGCCACTGCTTGACCCCGGGGCGCCTCCCACTCCGAGAAACCCCGGAAGGCCTGGGCGAAGCCCGCGGCGTGGGCCTCGGCACGGCGGGCGCGCCCGGCGGGCGGGCGGCCGCGGGCGGCAGCACGGGCAGCGGGCGCGGCCAAGGCGGCGCCCCGGCGAGGGGCCTTCGGCGCCGGCCCACGGCCTCCTGCCCCTGCTCCTCGTGTTCCTCCTCCTCCTCCTCCTCCTCCTCCTCCTCCTCCTCCCTCCTCCTCCTCCTCCTCCTCCTCCCTCCTCCTCCTCCTCCTCCTCCTCCTCCTCCTCCTCCTCCTCCTCCTCCTCCTCCTCCTCCTCCTCCCTCCCCTCCTCCTCCTCCTCCTCCTCCTCCTCCTCCTCCTCCTCCTCCTCCTCCTCCTCCTCCTCCTCCTCGACTCCTCCTCCTCCTCCTCCTGCTCCTCCCGCTGCCCCCCCGTGCTCCTCCTGCTCGCATGCCCTCCCCATCCTGCTCGCGAGCTGTCGCACCGCAGGGAGCGCGAGGGCAGCGAGCCGAGGGCAAGGGATACAGAATGTGCCGGAAGCAGGTCAGGGCGCAGCGGGCAGGACGAGTTCAGAATGAGAGCGGAGGGGGGTGAGCATCCACATCTCGTGTAAAGGTCACAGTCTTGAGCCAATGTACCCCCAAAATAACAACATAGCAGGGCAAGCTGCGAAGTAGAGGGCTACATGGGCTACTCTAATAAGAATCCTCTTGGGAACCTACGTGGGGCAATTGTGTGCAACAGGCTGTTGAACCAAAATGGGACCCTCATTCTGGGACCCCTGAGGCCACTAGGAGGCCCCAGCGAGGCCACAAGAGGCCCCCCAGGGGGCCCCAAGAAGGCCACCTTGGCAGCCCAGCAGCCTGTCGCACAAACAGAGCACTTGTATGTAGGATGCGTTGTCGGGCCGTTTGGGACTTTTCTCGAGGCCCTCCTGGGGCCCGAAGCAACCTCAAATGGAACCCCAAGTGCCGCCCAACAAGACCCCTATCGAGGCCCTCCTGGGGCCCGAAGCAACCTCAAATGGAGCCCCAAGTGGCCCCCAGCGGACCCCTCTCGGGGAAGTCGCGGTGCTGGAGGCCCAGCGCGCGGAGGTGGCGGTGCAGTTCCCACAACCTGCGACTGTCGTCGACGGCGTCGAGGCCTCGCTCGACTCCGTGCTGCCGAGTGTCCAACTTTCTGCGGCACAGCTGGTCAAGGTGCTTGGGACCTTCGGGGCCGGGAGCCCAATAACCAATCACGCACGAAGTCTTAGGCTGCTGGGCCGTCCGGGCGCGCTTGCGAGGACCTCCTGAAGACCCACAGTGAAAACCCAAGCACCCCGTGGGGAGACCCAAGAAGGAGTTTTCCAATCACGACCCTCGTGCATTACATCTCGCTGGGCCGTCTTGAAGCCCTCGCGGGGCCCTTGGGGGGATGCTGGGCACTCTCGGAGCGCGTAGCTTGTTGTTCGCGGTCCGAGGCTATGAAATCTACGCGCGTCCATGGCGCCCGGTGCCCCGAGACCCTCCAGGAGGTACCGAACGGGACGATCCCCTGCCAGATTGGGGAATGGAGCGTTGCAAGCACCCTGGACATGCCCAAGATCGGGATGTATTAGATGGCCCGCGACTCCACGTCCGTGACTGGGTGTGCTCAAACGCCCGACGGACTCTGACTGCTCGCAGAAACCACACGGTTTGCCGTGAATCGATGTCAGTTGGGATGGGCCGATTTTCCACCACCACCATAAGTTGGAGGGGGAGGGGGTCCTCCTCCTCCTCCTCCTCCTCCTCCTCTTCTTCCTTCTCCTCCTCCTCCTCCGCCTCCTCCTCCTCGTCCTCCTCCTCCTCCTCGTCCTCCTCCTCCTCCTTCCCCCCTCCAACTTATAGTGGTGGTGGTGGTGGTGGTGGTGGAAAACAGGCCAATCAAGTTGGGCGCCGTCTCCCTCGGGCGTCGCGCCGCCCATCCCCACCAAGGCACGGCTCGCTGGGAGAGCTACCTTGCCCTGTTGAAGAGGCCCAGGGACACCCAAACAAATACACGCAAATAACACGATTCTTCATATGATTCCGTATGCTGAGGAATTTTGTCTTCCCCACCACTTCCCATATTTTCCCATGTTTCCTGGGAAATGGAAGATTAATTGTATCTGTGTGGTTGTCTCCCTCCTGACCTGTCCCAGTCATGGCTGGGACGGTTCTGACGATGATGGTCGATCTGGGGCGCGGGCTGGGGACACAAAGTTCACGAAGGCGAAGCAGCGGAAGGTCCTGGAGGAGGGGCACGGGGTAGGAAGGAGGCCATCCAACGGTTCGGCGTCTTGAACCACGGCGTCGTCCCTCGGGTTCGGCATTCGAATTACGCTTTCAGGCCCCTGCGGGTCATGAAAAATGGGACCGCGACACAAGAACTGTCCCCATTGAAGTGGTCGAGACCTCCTGGGCCCGCGCGCTGAACAACTCACATCGTCAGATGTTCAGGATGGGACGCAGGCTTCGTAACGACATCTGTGTCGTCGTCGTCGTCACCGTCCTCAACGTCTTCGTCGTCGCGGTCGTCGTGGTCGTCGTCGTAGTCGTCGTCGTCGTCCTCCTCCTCCTCAACGCCGCCGTCGTCGTGGACGTCGTGGTCGTCGTGGTCGTCCTCGTCGCCGCCGACGTCGTCGCTGTCGTCGTCGTCGTCAGCGTCCTCGTCCTAGCCGTCGTCATCGTCCTAGCCCTCGTCATAACTCTCGTCGTCCGAGAGCCCCTCCCAGGTGGGGTGTCCGGCTGGCGAAGTCCATCGGGACGTAGACGAAGCCCGCTGGCCCCCACCAAAACGGGGGCGCCTCCTTCCTACCCCGGCGAACCTCCAATCGAATCGATAAGTCGGATCGGCGATCGTAATGAATCGGATTCGCAATCAAATCGGCGGAAATCGACATACTAGTATGCCTCCGTCGAGAAATCGGAGCCCACATCGAAGTCCGAAGCCGAATCGAATCGGAATCGGCAGTCATCGAAATCGAATCGAACCGAATCGGAGGATGCGAAACGAGCCCTGTAGAGTCATCGTGGTGTCACGAGGAACGCTGGAAGTAAGGAACGAAGAGGCTCTTCCTCCTCTGGCCACGACGAATAGGCTTCCCGACTAGCAAGGCTTCTGACTACCTACCAGACCACCCCAACCCAACCCGAAGACCCGAATTTGAACCGAATTTCGGGTTGGGCGGGGTACGGGTTCCATGTGTTTTTTCGTTCCCCGACCCCCCCCCCCGCTGGAAATGGAGGGCAGATCGTGGCCTTCGGGTTGGGTCGGGGCGGCTTGGCGGGCGGTGAGCTTCGGGATGCGCACGGGCAGCCCACCCCCAGGCAGTGCCGGCTGGCCTCAGCAGGCGTCCCGAGTAGTTCCAGCTGGCCGTATGTCGGGCCTGTCCCCCTTCAGGGGGATTTCGACGAAAAATAAAAAATACTCTAAGATAATCCACCAATAATCCAAAAATGCTCATAAAATAGTCCCCGGACTATTTTTGGACTCTTTTTGGACTATGTTTGGGGTATTCTATATTCGTCGAAAATCCCCCCCTGTAGGGGGACACGCCCGACAGAAAGCTGGCCTCGACAGGCCCCCAGAGAAACCCTGGGGTGCGGAACGCCCCAGGGGCGCCGCCGGAGGCGGCGCCGGGGCGCTGAGGCCACCTCCCCGGCCACTCGGGGGGCCTGTCGAGGCCAGCTGTATGTCGGGCGTGTCCCCCTACAGGGGGATTTTCGACGAAACATAAAACATATCCCAAACATAATCCAAAAATAGTCCAAAAATAGTCTGGGGACTATGTTCTTAGCATGTTTGGATGATGTTTGGGCTATTTTTGGGGTATTGTATTATTTTCCGTCGAAAATCCCCCTGTAGGGGGACAGGCCCGGCAGAAGGCCAGCCGGGTATACCTGAGGGGGCTGTCCGTGCGCAAGCAGAAGCCTCGCCACTGGCACGACCTCGGAGCCAGGGCCCCTCTGGAGTCCTGCTTTGGTGAGCGCTCCCGATATATCGGCGATGCGGCTCGATCCTCCAACCCCATCTGCTCCGACCCCATCCAGGAGGCCTAGATCTTGCAGGCCTGGAAATGAGCACCAACACCAACACAAGGGGTTGCCTCCACGGGCGAAGATGATCCCAGATCTCGGCGTCGGTGGTAACAGTTCGGTCTCCTCGGCAGCCAGAATACTGCCACCATCCCCGAGGTCGGAACATTTCCTCCCTCGGTAGAGGCACACCGCCGACATTGGCGTTGGTGTCAACCCCCAGGCCTGCGGATAGACTGTCCTCCTGCAAGCGCCTGGGCTGCGGGGCAGGACGAGGACCACCTCGGACGAAGACGGCGCGGCGGGCGTCTCCAGGAGAGCCGACGGGTGTGGGGAGAGCGCAGCGGGCGGCGCGGCCTCTCGAGAGCGCTCCGGGGAGAGGAAGCTCCGAGAGCGCCCCGGAACGATGAAACAACATCCGAGGCCAGCCGTAAGTCGGGCGTGTCCCTCTACAGGAGGGAGGTTCAAAAATAGTCCCCCCAAAAAAATCGTTTGGGGACGATGTTTTGACAATGTTTGAACATGTGTTGGCCATGTCCTACTTTTCGCCCAAAATCCGCCTGTAGGGGTACACGCCCGACCTCAGGCCAGCCAGATCCTCGTCCTCTGCTCGATCGTGTCTTGAAAAACTGGAGGTCGAAATTTGTGGGCGTCTCCGTGGCAACATATCCGACGTCGCTGCTGATTCGCAACGCGGTTCCCCATAGGTCAGGTCCCTTCCCGGGGACCTGCTCCTAATTCTGAACACTTGTTTGACTGCCCCAGAGTCTGCTGAGGGCCCCGACAAACAGAAAAACTGCCAAAAACCTTCCGTCACAAGTTTTGTTCACGACGCGAGCATGTCAGGGTCTTCCTTCCTTCCACCTCACTCTGGGAGAAGTGCGGCAATGGCGTATGCCTCTGGGATCGTACTTGCCGGCGTAGCCAGCCGCGTCCAGCAGCTTGCAGGGACGAAGGGGAGTAGGCGCAGGAGGGGAGGAGGCAGAGGACGATGAGTGGAAGGTGCGGGACGACGTGGAGGATATGATCACGAGGAGGGGGGAAGGATGAGAAAGGGGAAAGGAGGAGGATGGAAAAAAAGGTGGGGAAAGGGGGAGGCAGGACATGAGGAGGGTGAAAACAGGCCGAAGAAGGGGGGAGAAATCAAATAGGGAGGAGGTGGAGACAGGAAGAGTGTCTTAGAAAAGGAAGCAGAGGAGGGATGGAGGGAAAGCAGAGAAGGGATGGAGGGAGAGAGACAAGGCAAAGGACTGGTGGGCCAAGGGCCCGATTGGCGACGACAGCTCCATCCCCCCACACCAAGCCGCGCTCGCAAGGAAGTCCGACGGGAGGGCAGCAGCCTGCCAAACTGTGTGGGCGCGATGGCAGGATGCAGCAGAGGAGAGGGATGCAGAGGGGATGATCGAGGGGAGGGCACATTATCCACCACCACTGCCATGCGTAGGACGGGGGAAAAGGGAGGATGAGGAGCTCGTCCTCCTCCTCCTCCTCCTCCTCCTACTCCTCCTCCTCCTCCTCCTCCTACTTACTCACTTACCGACTCACCTACTTACTTACTTACTTACTTACTTACTTACTTACTTACTTACTTACTTACTTACTTACTTACTTACTCCACTCATAAGGGGGCCGCAGGCAAGCGGAGCCCACAGCGCTCCTCCAACGCACCGCGCCGCGCCGCCGCGGCGGCCGACGCGTCCGAAACGCCCGACGAGGCCAACACATCCCCGCCCGAGGAGAGAGCGGCGCCTGCAAGGGCGGGGGGGAAGAGAGGCGAGGACCCCGAGAGCCACGCAGGCCGCAGGCGAGCCAAAGACGCCCAAGGGGCCCCGAGAGGAAAGGGGGGGAAGGGAGCCCCAGAGGGCCTCGAGAGGGAAGGGCGGGGCCCCAAGAGCCAGCGAGGGCAGACCAGAGGCCTCGAGGAGGAGACGGGGGGAAGGGCCTCTCGGGGGGCCACGAGAGGAAAAGGGGCCTCTGGACGCCTCTGAAGTCTCACGCGGCCTCCGCGCAATTCCAGGCATTCTCCTGGTTCCGCAGGTCGCCGCCCATATAGCGGCACCAGCACTGCCCAGCAGCAGAAGCACGGTTTGTCTGGGCGGCAACGTGCGGAAGCCAGGCTTTCCCCCGGGAGGCGGTCGACAGGTCGCCTTCCTGGGCCAGTGCCCCCCCCCCCGCGGCAAGGCGATAGAGGAACAAAACAACACAACATGATCACGAACATAGATGGGGAAACGGACCCGGGGGGGCACCACTTCTAAGTCCCGAGACGCCTTCGCGCGCGGCCGTGGGTGGGCCCCTCAGCGGCTTCGGTTCGACGAGGGTGGGTGCCAGCAGGCGGCGGCTGCAACGGCGCCGCGATACCGAACGGCTGCATCGCCCGCTTGTTGCGTCTCCGCGCTGGCGCCGCAGTGTGCTGCGGGAGGGGGTGTCCGAGCTCCGCGCGCCGCAGCGCCGCTGCCGCCTGTGCAACTCCTCCCGCCAGCGCCAGCATGCCTCCCCCCAGGGCCACCGCTCCTTGTGCGATGGACGCCACCCTTGCTGTCCTCAACATGCCCTCCTGGAAGAAGACGACGCAGGGCACGCTCCTGCGGCTCGCGATCGCTCAGATGTCGAGGGTCATCCGCAGCGTAGCGTTGTCCCCTGAGATGGCCCTCGCCCTGGCAGGAGTTTCTTGTCTCGCCGTCCACGGGTCCGAGCAGCCGCGGAATGCCAGGTCGGCTCCGTCCAGAGACCAAGTCGACGTTCTACGGTAAACCATGACCATGCCGCAAGCTTGCACCGAGCGCCCCCAACTGCCCCCGGTGGCCACCAGCGTATTCAAACCAAGCTCCTTATCTTCGAAAGTCGTTTCGAAAGACTGTCCGCCGCTGCTCTCGATCTTGTGGCAGCACTGGTTATTGTGGTCTCTGCCCTCTGTAGAGTCCCCGTCCACGATGCATGTTATGCCTGTCGGCTGTGGTTTGACTGCGCGCTGGCCATCCACGTCGCTGCGAGAATGGGCCCCTGACGCGACGGCCCCGCTGCCCCTGCCCACGCCGAACGAGTGTCCCCCGTCGCAGTGCCGCACGACTCCTGTTACGCTCGGCAGTGGGTCGCGCGGTCGATGTGCTGGTCGTCCTGGCGCTGGCGATTGTGCTCGTAGGCGGCATGGGCGCATGGCCTTATCTTCTCTGAAGCCGTCGGTCCCGAGTTATTCCGTCATCTAGGCGTCGTCGGCCATCAGTTGCTGCGCGACGTTATCTGCGAGCGGAGGCATGTGTCCGCGTGGCGCCATAGACACCCAGGTGTCTCGGCGACGAAGATGCCTCACCAACCGCACTCGAATTGGGAAGCCTGCGCCCCCGGCCACTGCGCGTCGTGCGCTGGGAGGTGGGCATTGGCCCTGCGGCTGCGGAGGCTGGCTTCTGTCGCCAGGACCTTCTCGCAGTCGTAGCATGCGTGCCATCTCTATGTCTCGCTGCTGTCGTCGTGCATGGCGGAGGTGTTGTGCTGCCCGTGCAGGTCCCTCTGCTGCTCGCAGTGGTCGCTGCTGCGCCTCCATATGTCGTGCTGGCCGCGCTCCTCCGCGACGAATTTGCACTGCTCGAACGTCTCCCCAACTATTTTCGCAATCTCCTGTGGACCGCCCCTGCAGATACAGGCCCCTTCCGCTGAGATCGTCGCGCGCTGGGAGGCTGTTGCCGTCATAGTATGTCTGGGCCCACCACAGGTCTTCGAGGATAGCCTGGCGCCATTAAGCGCGGCGCTGATGCCCGAACTCCAGCAAATACTTCACCGCGGAGGGTCCCTGACGTATTACTGCGCTGAGGTACCTGAGCCGACGCGCTGGAACCAAGGCTGACAAGCCTGCCCGCTCGGCGTCGTAGTAGACCCTGCTATCTGGTACATGTCCGGCGGCGTCGCGTTTGCACCCAGCAGCAGCGGCGACCCTGTGACCTCTCGAGCGGGCCGCCTTCAGACGCTGGTGATCGCTGACGTTCATTTCCGCACCAAGGCTTCGCAAACTTCTCTGGCCCACCACTGGCGCAATTAACGACAGAACGCCTTATGAGACCCAGGGCTCCACGATGTGCTCGCAGGCGATGCTGCGCGCCAGCCCATGAGCCGTCGCGGCATAAAATCGAGCCCACGTGTTTGTACATGCACAGGACGTCGAAGTCTATGTCCCACGTGGTAGTGGACACCTTCGCTTGGTCGCCGCATCAGTGATCGCTGCTTCGCTTTGCCTGCGGACCGCGCGCAGCGACGGGGAAGTCAAGCTTCTGGCTGCATAGTAAAAATCGCGTCGCCGGCGCAGGTGAATGTCGCACATGTCCTGTCCTGAGGGGCCCCCGCACCATCGATGTATACGGTCGAATGTTCGCGTCTAGTGCATTCGCCCAGGTGGGTGCTGAGGTCTCCCCACGGCTTCTCTGATCTTCCCAGGCGGCCTCGTGAAGGCGAAGGGGAAGAGGAGATCCGCTGGCGGTGACCCTGGCCGCGCCCCTCCCGTCGATGTCGCTGTGGCTGCTCGTCCTGGCACGTTAAGCTAAGTCGATCGCTGTGCCTCAGCGGCGAGTGCCAGGGCGGTCGTCGCCACACAGCTAACCAAGAAGCCCAGGCTGGGCTCTGACCTCCTCGAGCATGGGCCACAAAGCCTCTGGGATCTGCAGGGCGCGGCAGACCATGTCCAGGTCGTCGCTGCGCTGCAGGGCCGGAACGATGAGCTGTCGGACGATCCTGAAATAGGCCGCGCGCAGGTCGACGAGGAGGAACGCTATCGACCGGCCTGTGGTCTTCGGCACTGACTGGAGCGCCCTGACTTGGCGAGTCGCCATCGATGCGCTTCGCCCCTTGATTCCTCCAACTTGGCTGCCGTACAGGATCGCCGCCGCAACATCTCGGAGTCGCTTGCGAAGACATACATAATGAGGTTTGGCCGCAGCGCTGCAGCAAGATAGGCACGCGGGCCCCCTCCTGAGAGGGGTCTGCTTTCCCCGTCGGGATCTCGGAAAGCGCAGCGCGTTCGAAAGCAAGAGGCCCTTGAAACCGAAGAGCAACTGCAGTGCACAATGAGTGGGCCTCCGTCGCATGCTGTGCTAGGCCGATCGCCAGGCTGTCGCACGGGATGCCGTCCTCTCCTGGAGCTCTTCGCTTCTGCCGTTTGCCGAAAGCACTCGGCGTGTCAAGGCCGAGCAGGATGGGCACGTTGTCGATGGAGAACTCCTCGCATGCGAAGTCCTCAACCTCGCAAGAGTTGCACGCGGCCGCAATCTGCTGCCAGTTGCCCACATAGGCGACCTCATGATCTGCGTAGTACTTCCGCTGCACTTATCGCATTCGCTGCTCGGAGTCGATGACATCGCCGTTCTCGTCCAGCCTGTAAGGGATGACGTCTCCGCCTTGTCCTCTATGCCCTCGTCTTCTTCCGATACGGAGTAGCCGTCGAAGCCATCGCAACTCGGTCAGCGTGTCCTTGGACTACACGGAGTCGTCGTGCTTCCCCGCGCGCGCTCATGCAGTCGCATCTCTCCTCCACGACTCCACGATGGCCAACTTAAGGATCGTAGCTGTTGGCTTAAGGTAGAGCTCGCCTTCCGCCCTGGCCTCTTGTATACTTATGGAACATGCCCATGCCGAAGCTCAGCCTCGAGGTCTGTCCCCGCCCTGAGTGCCCGGCGGGATAAACAACTGCTCTTGCCGAGGAAGATTTGCCGAGATGTGCTCCAGCTTGAACTTCCCAGTCTTCAGCAGCCTGAGCTTCTCAATGGCGCAGCTCCTCGCCCTGGTGAACCTCGTGGCGCTGCTTCCGATGCATTCCTTTTTCGGCCGTGTCAAACCTTTCTTGAAGGCTGCCCCCGCTGCCGCGTGGATGTCCTGGGCCATGTTCACGCAGTGGTCCTTGACGTCAATGTTCCACTCTGGCGTCATCATGCTGAGCTTGCACCCTTAGATACTCTCA